TTAGATACATTTAATAATTAGATTTCTTTACAGTAACTTTCACTTTTCACTTTGAGTTTATGAATGAATAAATCCTTCATTTCAAATACATTTATAAATAATGTAATAAATATTTACGTATTTTGTTAAAGGCAGATACATGCTTTTTGCAAGCATATGCATAAATATGCATACATATTTCATATTTTTCATTTTCAGTGTGCGTAAATCTTTAATTTCTGTGCATTCACTATATTCTTTGAGTAAAGTAATTTACAATAATTTAGCATATACCTGAAATGCTTACTTAAGAAATATGTATAAGTATAATTTGAATGAAAATTACATGTATTATTTTTAATACCCACTCAAAGGTCAGTTTTTCTTCGAAATTCCTCCACGATGGCATCTCTCCCTTTAGGCAGATAGCTCTTGCATGCCTTACTCTATTTAATAAAAACTTAACCTGGCCTATGTGCCTAATTACAAATATTTTAAAATGCATAATTTTATACTTACATTTAGCCATCAAGTTTCAAACTTAAAACACGTTTTAGGATACATTCATTATCAAATTCAAATCTTCTAGCAAATATATTTTGGCAAAGCATTCAATACCTCTTTTAGCGATTTTACAAAATTTAATAATTCTCTTGACAATATAATAAATAAATCATAACTATCCATTCCACATTTAAACATTAACGCATTGTCATCAGATCTTGATTGCCTTACTCTGCATAATATTGATTCATTCACCGAATTCGTAAACGTATCCGTCTTCTGTTCCACACATTTGTGTAAAACTGTACATAATTTTACACAAATATGTGGTTATAAATCAAGGAAAAGTTAACTTATTCGCATATCTGTGTGTATATTTATTAATTTTGACTAGGATTGCAGCATTTGGTGGTAATTCTATTTTTTAATTAACCCAAATAAGTAAAACATGTAAGCCCAAAGTGATTATTTTTCAGTTATATAAAAATAAAATGATGAGTTTCAAATGAGCAACTGTAAAGCATCTCATCTAAAAATTTTCAAAAGGTACATGTTACAATAATATGTGGATCACAAAAAATTATTTTATTTAAAATATTTTGGCGTTTGGAACATAAAATAAAAGTAGCGAATACTCTATCAAGGGTATCGAAAGACGTATACAATTTTAAAGGTACCGTAAGGTATTTTTCATTCTTTAGGCATAACATTTTTTCTAAAATCTATATTTTTGTATTTCAACAGCCTAGAATTTTATAAAACAAATTCATAATAAAATCGCTATTGTTAGTTATCGAAAAATAACCAAGATGTGATTTTTGCGTAAATGTCACTAAACTACACAGATTGCTATTATCCATCACACTATGAATTTTTTTTTTCATGCGGAAGTGTCCCGTTTTTCGATTTGTATGGAACTGTCATGTGTCGAAATACTATCAAAACGCTGTCAAGGGAGCTTTTGAATGTAAACAGAAAACATCTCATCTGGAGACGGAAGCCTCGGAGCAGTGCTTCACTCGTAGTGCGGGTTTGGCCAACACCCCCTAGAACTTAAAGAGGTTATCACACTTGGCTACAGTCCCTGCTAGACGGGACTTTTCTGAGAAACGAGATTCTGGTAGCACTGGTTTAAACGTGAGGATTCCTAGAAAAAAGAGCCCAGCCTGAAGCGAAGGTCCGCCTAATTACGGAAACGATGTTGCGGTTAAGCGGGATTTTTTCAAACCTCATTGAAAATGTCTCGGCTGGACCTGTGTCCCGGGTAGAAACAATCATTCAGCCGAAAGTTCTGCTTCTGAAGCATCACGTGATCCCAAGCTGTACGATAATCGATTAGTGTTTGGCGTTCAAGTATTTGTAGTAAGTGAAAATGGTAACCTAGCTACGTGTGTTTCCTGGAATTGTGCTGGTTCTGAGAATTGTCCCTTTCGACGTCAAGTTCCTCGTAGCCAAGCATAATGTGATTGAGGTTTAACTACCCAGTGGGGTGTTGGTTTGGCCCCTTCTTACCTCCATGAGCCCTTCTTACCTTCCTTTACCTCCATGAGCCTACCCGATATGCAGAGGTGGAAGAGGAAATTTATTCGGATTTATGAGAACTTTTTCGGAGCACATTTTTGGTACCAGGTTCTGGTAAGCTCATTTTTTCAATGTTCCTTTATCCAATGATTTTCTTTGTCTCTGCTATCTCATTCGCTCAAAAAACCAGGGAAACTTGTGCACCCTCCTTGTTGTAGTAGAAGCGCCGATATTATTTCGAGATCGTCGCACGTAATCCACTTATAATCGTCGTATTTAATTTTACCAAGAAAAAATTCAAAATTTTCGTAACGCACTTCTAAATGAGTAGGGACCCAATGTACCTCTTAAAAATTCAAAAAAATAATGGAAATAATGAAGACTTCTTTATAATGGAAAATTAGGCTTATTCATAGCAGTATTCATTAGAAAACTGAAGAGCTCACTTTGCTCCCCTAATTGTTTTGCTATAAAAATGCTTAGGGAAAAAAAATGAAGAAAGAAAAGTTTTCTGCCTATTTTAATGTATTATATTTTCTCAATTTTTGACCTTCTTAACAATTTTGAAATTTGGGATTTGCGAAAAATCGTGACCTGATGGAATGAAGGTCACTTTCGGATTCAGAATTCAAAAATACATAAGAATCAATTATCGAAAGTTAAAAAATACAGTCATTGCAAGCTTGTATAACCTTATTAGTATGACCGAAAATTTGTTCTGAAATATAATTGAGTTTATTTAAATAAATTTTTATATTATGACATTAGTAGTTAAAATCTTGTTACAAAGGTACTTACATATTATCGCAACCACCTTAGTAAAAGAAGCCACATTTTCAGAATATGCCAAATTCTGGCAACTATGCGCGTATACATTTTTTTAGGTAACCACTCTCATATCAGTCCTTCAATCAAGCAGGTCGCCTTTTTCAAAAAATGTATTCGAACACTTTTTATATACAAATCGTGATATTTTTTGCCCTTAACTCGAATTTAAAATATGCGCGTAGAATTTTCCAGCATTGGAAGAAACTGTGGTAAAATTTCAGCAAAAAATACAATATTTTACTAAAAAATCACTAAAGGGAGCAGTACTAAGATGCATTCGGTAGATAGCCACCGCGCGATGCCGTGTTTGTGCAGTTCTGTAAAGTCTTTTTAAGGGACAAAAGAGTACACGAGAAGAACAGTTCAAGATAATTATACAAAGATTTCGTGAAAAAGTGTATTTTATTTTTAATGTATTCTGTAACCCCCTTTTTACTCATTAAAATATATGTTTTAAAATATTTAAAGTGTTTTTTCTGTTGATATGTTGATAATGTTTCGACACTTTGCATCCGATAAGTAATTTTTACCCTTTCATCTTACCCCCCCCCCGGGGTCTATACACTGACTTGGCATCTTATCATGGCAGTAGCACTGTGGAGGAACAATAATTACGAGCCTAGCAGTTCCAGAACCCGAGGGAAGATCGTTTATGCGGCCGGACTAAGGGAGATTGGCGTAAAAGTCCTGGTAACTCGGCTGGTCTGAGCACTCCGGGTAATGTCCTCTGGTGACAGACAGCCTGGGTAGTACCGGGGGGGGGTATTATTGACGACCAGTCAAACTTCCAAGCGAATAGATTACGCCTGAGAAATAACACCGAGAACAGGGAGTGATGATTCCTCGGGCCCGGTTCGAAAGGGAACATTTTCAGAAGTCCAATGAACCTGGAACTGGAGCCCCAGGTACTCGGCAAAATAATTTGTGTCACCTCCAAGGTGATTTCTGGCTGGACTACCTTCCCCTGCCCAAGACTCCTGTCCATTTAGTTGCATCAAGTTGCAAGAGCACATAGAAAAGTTGATTGATTACATTTTCACCTGTAAAAGGCCACCAAGTCGTGCAAAGGTGATTATACTTAAGTGTGATTAGAAATAAAAAATATTGCAAGAATATTTCTTCGTTCTTAAAAGAGCCACTGCGAATAGTTGTAAAACCCCGCAAACTTAATTCCCTAATATGTTGTAGAGACATTAGGTATTTTTTGGAAGCAGGCAAGATGAAAAATAATTAGCAAACGCCTTCGCCGGGAATCGAAGCGCGGAGCTCTGAAATACCGGCCCAGCGTGCAGAACCACTACACCACGAAAGCACGCTAGGAAAGCGGGAGAAATACCTTACATAGTCCCCTTTTTAAAGGGGGACTGTGGTTTTTTAGGGGACCTAATCGCCAAATCCTGGGTGTGGAGAATCCTCATCCAACAGCCTTTTAATTCGGGTGCCAATGTAGAGACATTAGGATTTTTTGGAGCAGAAGAGATTTATTTATTTATTTATTTATTATTCCCCCTGCTTCACCTCTCATTAGGCACTACATGTCAGTCATGTTTAGCTACGCGCTCGCCGGGAATCGAACCGCGGACCTCTGGAATACTGGTTCAGCGTCCAGAACTACTACACCACGAAGGTATGCTAGGAAAGCGGGAGAAATACCTTATAATGTAACATCCAAATTTCAAGTTTCGCCATAGACTTATGGAATAGTAATTTTAACAAAGAAGTACCTAAATTTGTTTCTTATAATATTCGCAACTTTGAATATTTTCAGAAAAATGGTGAGCTTGAAAGAATCGAATATACTTTCAATACAAAACCAAGCACAGAATTTGATTTATTCTCCAGTTTTCCAGGCAAAAATTATTTCTGATTGTTAAAGCAGCCATCAGATATCCATTTTGGTAACGAACTATGCTGTGACTTTATAAGGTATTTCTCCCACTTTCCTAGTGTGCCTTCCTGTTGTAGTGGTTCTGCACGCTGGGCCGGTACTCCAGAGGTCCAGGTTCGATTCCCGGGGAAGGTGTTACTAATTTTTCATTTTGCCTGCTTCCAAAAAACCTAATGAATCTACAACTTTATAAGTTGCGCATTAAGAAAATTTAGCGATTAAGTTTGCTAATTAGTAACTAATTCTCCTGGTTGTTTGAATAAAGAAATATCCTTTGAACTTCAGGTAATGCAGCTGTTTTGACAGTCCTATATTTATTTACTCGGCTACATAATATTTTCAGTTGAATTTATGTTGTCTATTAATTCAATTGTTTTTCAAAAAATTGAATAGATGAAACAATATTTTCTTGTTTCTGTCATTCTGTAGCATTAAATCCATTATAAAATATTTTAGACGATTCCACCACGATTTCCAAGGGTTCTGAGGTGAAAGTACCAGAACACTATATGATCATTTGCGTTTGGAGTATATTCTCTGATATCTGCAAAAACAAAACAAAAAAATGTTATACTTTAATACACCATATGTATACATACACGTTTTCATAAATCAGGTGTCTGATAATTTTGAAAAAGAAAAAAAAATATATATGATTGCTTTCATGAGTCCAGCTAGTAATTAATCATAATAGGAGTGAACTTTTATTTTAGATCCCTTTGTTTATTAATAATAGATCTATTAAATTTGAAAGGCGAACCAAATATCTTACGCTTTCCTGAGTGGAAACACACTTATAAAAATGGAATTATTCATTTTAATGTATAAGTACTAGTTATTTTAACACTTGTCGTTTGTGCGGTCAGCCGTCTTAACTCTCAAATTCATGTAGTTGCCACTTGGCAACATACTCATATTTAGTCAGGTAAATCAAATGAAAACACAAACTTTAGCTTACTACATAGTGTAACCAATTGGATACATACTGTTTACGTATTTAGTTTTGAAAGTTTCAGTGTAGCGCTAACGGTGTAACGGTCATTATTGTGAGTTATTGGTCGTCAATAAGTTACAATGTCGAGTTATTAGTCGTCATTATTGGTCGTCAGTAAGTGTAGGGTGTAGACATTATTTGTGTTTAAGAATTTTCGATTTTGTGTTTGTTGTTATTTTGATGTATTCAAAGGTTTAAATTTGTTTGAATAAGTTTACAAGTATTACATAAAATTGTTATTACACATTTGCCTATCATATTCATTTGCATAATGTAACCATTTGACAACAATAATATTTTTTCAAAAATTGGAATAAAAGCTTAGTTTAGATTTTTTCTAATTATTTTTCTTATTTTATTTGATATTAGTTCTAATGTATTTTTGACTTAATTTAAAAAAGTAAAATAAAAATAAAAATTCATGCATTTAAGGGTTAAATAGGCATCATATATACATGCAATAATTTTAATGATTACAGCTAGTGCCATTTCATAAAAAATTGCATATTTCTAATCAGACATCTCGTGATATAAATGCATTTCTCTTGAAATCATTCAGATTAAAAAGTAGTAAAATTATTCTTAAGAATTACGTTGACTATATTTTTAAATCATTTGGTTTGTTACTGAATATCAGATAGATTAAATCTGAAAGTTACCTTGCACTTTAAAGACAAAGCTCTGGTGCATGGATGATAAATGTATTTTATTTCGGACAGTGACAATACTTTTTTTAAAAGCGGAGATTTCTGAAATCAGATAATAAAAGTTTTAAACGAAGAGGACACCGCAAAGTAACCACTGACTTGCTAGAAAAATCCCATTATCATTCGTTTTCCTGCTCGCTAATCAAAATATTCACGGAAGGTACAAACCCTCAATATGTCAAACAAGTACTACTAGAAAAAGAGTTCAAATGAAAACTGAAAGTCGTAGAAGAGATTGAGCCTCTTCCCATGCTTCTCGTTGACACAAAACACAACAAAAAATGCAAGTTAATCTTTAGCTTAACTAACTTAATGAACTTATCTGTTTATGTAGAATCTTTTTAAAACCATTCGGGCTAACGGTACTCAACGCCATAACTGTCAGTATTACAGACATAGTAAGACCCGTTATCATCATAAGGCCTGCTGTGTTAAGCTTACTCAAAATTGCTTGACTAATATTTGCAAAAAAGACAAAAACGTTCTTAAGAATTGTATTCTTTGCGGAGGAGTTCACGTGGCCTCCGATAAAGCTCTCCCACTGTACCCTAAAATATAAAAAAGCAAGAAAACATACCAGAACCTCCACCAAAAAATGATCAACATTTTACAGCTGTAAGCAAATCTACTGTTAAAACTCAGCAGGCTATTCGAAGTAAACACTCTTAGCCAGTGCCAAAGAATTACAGACATTTAAGGATTGGATTAAAAACATCCTAATAAAAACTAAATTTCTCGTTGAGAGATTTAAACGAACGAATTTCCCAGCGATGAAAATACAAATAGTCATGGAAGACCTTGTCTTGACTGAACTCAATTTTGAAACGTAATCAGTTACAACCGTTGATTTCCTACTTTATATCCTTTTTTACATTTAACTGTGTTTTTATTTTTTATATTCATCACGATCAAGAAACTTTCCCTGAACAATTATCTTACAAAGACGATATATTTTTTTTTTCTTTGCAGTTTATATTGTTAATCGTCTATGGGACATTTCAAGATAGTATTATAACTACAACTGTGTGCCACTTCATCTTCCTGAACTTATACTCAAGAAACTTTGCAGGCGCACATAAGTTGGTGTCGCATGTCACACAGACCAACTCAACAACTTTCGCTCTTCGCTATATCGGCGGCACTTTTGCGGGATTTCTATCATAAATGCCAACGAATTAAGGCAGGGTATTCAAAAGCGTGTTTGATGTAGTTTATTCGACGAAAAGCAATAGAGGGCTGCCTAAAGGGATGTATACCTTCGTGGAGGACTTTCTGAAGGAAACTGGCTTATATATACGTTACACGTGGGAAATACCAGGAAAATGGTCATGCAGTCACGCAGTCTGCCCTTTCGCCTGGAATTTGAACCTAAGGGATGAACGACCAGTGTGGTGGGTCTCGGAGGCGTGGGTGAATACTGTTTTCTGTAGTAAGTTTACTGCACTATGCGTTCAAAGTTTAACGGAATATTTTTATAAAATTGAAAGACTAATATATCACATTTTGCCGAATGGCAACAGTTCCGAGCGCGGAAGATAAAAATGTTTTCTTGCGAGCATTGCTGCCACTACTTGCTTTCAGATCTCTGAGTTTATTCATCAAAAATTTCTTCATTTCGCATAAAATATGAAATAAATGTAAAAGAACTTCAAAATACAGGTTTCGAGGTTCCGATGTTCGTATGAAGGCCTAGAAGAATTTAAACTTAGTTAAGTGCTGCGTTTTTATGCAACGCAAGAAACATATATACATACATACAAACAGATTCTTTATTATTTAATAGTAGAGATATAAAGCTTCAAAATCAATGAACTAAGAACTCGGCCATTTGAGCAACCAAGTTTTGGACATCCCCCACTGCAGATGACGACCAAGTGAAATATCTGACAGGCCAGAGCCTCCGTGAACTGCACATTTGGAAACTAAGCAATCTAGACTAATTAACTTCAATCTACTGTTGATATCTGAATGCCACTTACATCCCAAAATCATAAAAAAATACACCAAAAACTCAGTGTTCTATGACTAGACCTATGACAAGTCACACCTTAGGACCGAAAACGAAAAAGCGGAAATAGCAATAACTAGTTTACACTCCAATAATTGATTTCGAACAACAACAACAATTTCCATAGTGTCTCAAAACACCAAACACACTGAGTTAAGCGCAAGAACTCTTCTATTATTTATGAACTTTGGACTGAAAGATTTGAGCTCAGTCCAGTCTTACCTGTAACAAATATCCTCACATAACAGGAATCAGACATTCCGGTTAACAAAATCAAATTCCATATGTTTCTCTACCTGCAATAAAAATGCAAAGTGCAACGATCTCTAAAATATGAACTTTGTTGTATTTTCATAATCCAATATTATAATGAGTATACTCAACAGTTTGTGTTATATTATGTAACTTTGCCTAATTTTGTGTTATTATTCTCTTATGTTTAAATGTAACAACTCCGATGAATAACTCCTTGTTCCTTAGAAGAAAAAGCATACAGTCAATTCCAGCTTTTCATACTGTAGCTGGTTAGTGTATTAGGGTAATATCTGCTGAATTCTGTAATGGAGTCTCTGGTGTCTCATACACTTTTACATGTGTACAAAGATACATAGCCTCTTCAAATCGACGGTTCACAACCATCTGAAGCGAAAAGATTACGAAAGCAGGCACGAAATTTGAGTGCCATCTCCTGACTGAGCTTCACAAGCTTGACAGGATCACTATCTGTGATGATCTGCTACGCAGACAGAGAGGTGATTCCTTCGTCAAGAAACTCGTTATGAACAATGGATCTTGGATTGTATGCTACAGCATGGTGCGAAAGCAAACTTGGGGAATTTCAGGAAACAGGTTACAGATAGCAGCGAAGCCAGGGCTGCATCCAAAAAAGATTTTGATCTTGATCAGGTGGGATCACAAAGGAGTTCTGTTTTTCCAATTACTTTGGAGTAAAATATTAACTCCGCCCTCCTATTTCATTAGGTACGGAAAAAGTTCCCGGAGTTTTAGTGGATATCCTCCCGCACCGTCCGGAATATTTTATCTATCTTATTCTGGTTCTTAAAAACATTTGAGTGGAAAAAAATAAGGACTAAGGAGACTTGGCCTTATCTCTTATATTCTCCTTGAGATATTTACAGCTATTTACTTTGTTGCATGAGCTATTATTTATTTCAATAACGTGTGAAGTTCTGTCTGCTCATCACTGCTGGTGGCAGAATCTATGCACCGGACAGCAGACTTTTAGAGGTGGCAAAACTTTTAGAATTTAAGGCGTGACCAGGTGAGCAGAGTCACAGCGTCTGTTTCGAGCGGCAAAAGGCTTAGCGCTGGCCCTAATAGTTATTAAGGGGATCTCTACAAATCGCAGCCTGCAACAATAATTAAGTTTATCAATGTTAAACACTGCTGGCAAGGAATTAAATAAATTCCGCAAGTATTAAAATTAGAAGCATATTTTCATTTCCTGACGTAGGAGCATCTGTTCCGGATTTGTTGGATGTACACCCAACTTTTCAAGAAGACTGACGGCGATTTAAAATGATGGAATATTTTATCTAAGAATATAATAGAATGATGCTAACTCACCTCCAGTGAAGAGTTCTTGTTGATCTATCGTTTTTTCTTCGCTGCCTTTTCCTTTCACATACAAATACCAGGAGAAGCCCCGCTCCGAATCATTTGGAACGTTCGAAATAGAGTAGACGTATATATTTCCTTCGATTTCCTCGTATGCAAATCTAAATATCAAATGAAGTATTGCAGACATAACTACTCATTAAAAAAAGATGGATTATAGATTTTTTAATATTACTTTTGAGACTTTTAAGTGAAAGATTTGTTTTTCTGGACAGGAATTTGGAATTTCGGTACTTACGTATTATCCCGTCAACCATGAAGCTGTCGTTAGGCAGCGTGATTTAGCTCGATTAGCTATGTCTTGTTTTTATTTATAAAAGTATATAAAGTATAGAAAATATATTTATTTATTTTTAGACATTAAAGCTGGATGTAAATTTTGCCGAAAGATAAAAAAGTCGATATTTGCATAAAAAGTTTTTGAACTGAAACTAGAAATAAGATACTGATACAGCAAACGTCTTTAACAGGAACTCGCAAGGCGAACACTCGGTTAATACACTGCTGAACATTAAAACTGCAACACCATGAAGGATGTTTTCCTTTATGGTCAAAAAAGATATTTTTTGCACGTAAATAGTATGGCATGAAGGCAAAATGATAAAATTTGTAAGCATTTTGGAGGTTTACAGGGGTGCAAAATTAGTAGAAAAAGCTGCCACCCTGGCAGCTAAAACGGCTCATACCCCATTAGGCATGGAGTCAGATTAGGCTTGGATGACAGAAATGGGCAACACATTTCATACTGCTTCAAGTTTATGCCGCACTTCATCAATCGTATTAGCTGGAGAGGGAAGGCGGGCCAGTCTCTCAGCAACCCATGATCAGATGCTTTTAATGGATGACAGTTCTGGAGATCGTGCAGGCCTGGGCAGCAGTCGGATACCCTGTGTATCGAGGAAGGTCAGAACACGGGGTGCAACATGTGATCTTGCATCATCTTGTTGGAACATGTCGTTTGGCAGGCCTCTAAAGTAGGGCACAATCATTGGACGTAAGATGCCAGAAATGTACCCATTTACGTTCAAATTAGCGTCGATCTGAACTAGAAATGTGCGTGTCGTGTCTGCCTAAACCATCATACCAGGTGCAGGGTCCCTAAGCCAATACCGAATGCAAGCAGGCGACGTACTGTCTTCTCGGACACTCCAGACACGTATTCGCCCATCAGAATACTGCACGTATAACCGGGACGCGCTTGAAAAGGTGATGCTGTGCAACTCCTGTACCCAGCTTTGTCATTTGGCGCACCAGAGTCGTTGTCTCTTTCTATAATGCATTGTCAAGGGAAGCCGAAGTATTGATTATAAGGTATTTCTCCCACTTTCCTAGACTGCCTTCGTGGTGTAGTGGTTCTGCACGCTGAGCCAGTATTCCAGAGGTCCGTGGTTCAATTCCCGGCGAAAGTGATTGTTCATTTTTCATCTCTCCGGCTTTTACAATTAACCTAATGTCTCTACAGTGGCGCTCGAACTAAAAGGGTGTTGGATGAGGTTTCTCCACAAACAGGATTTGGCGATTGAGTCCCCTGAAAACCCGAATCGCCCTTTAAAAAGGGGTGTATATAAGGTATTTCTCTCACTTTCCTAGCTTGCCTTAATGGTGTAGTGGTTCTGCACGCTGGGCCGGTATTCCAGACGTCCGCGATTCGAATCCCGGCGAAGGCGGTTGCTAATTTTTCATTCTCCGGCTTTTCCAATTAACCTAATGTAACGCTTAGTACCTGCAGTTATCAATATGTAAAATCTGTTATTAGTATGTAATATTCAACGTTGTTACTTTGGAGTCTTCCCCGCCGTGATGGTATTCCGTTTGGTTCATGTCCGTGGTCGGAAGCCATCATAGCGGTGCACTCACTCAATCACTCTACATGGTCAACCTACTGGTAATCCACGCTGCTGCAAACGTCGACGGACTTTACAATCTGATACTAGGCGTGCAAACATGCTCATTTCCTGATTAATGGTCCATGAAGTAGTCGCACGGTTTTGCAGGGCTTACCTCAAAATATCTGTCCTCTGTGGCGTTAATCATGGGAGGGCGTTGATATCCTGCATGCCATTCAGTATGATCCTCAGCAATGCATTGATTCCATATTCTCATGACAGTGGTTGGATGCCGACCAGTGCGACCGGCGATATCACAGAATGATAATCTACACTTTCGATAGGCAATGATCTTGCCTCTATCGAATTTCGAAACTTGCCTGTAAGAATTTCCTATTCTTATTCGAAGCATAAAAGCATGACACGATATTCTGAACAAACTCCAACCTTTCAAAGCATTTTACGTTTGAGAAATCCACTACACAACTTTTCTTTTATGCAGTGCTTCAGATATCGTTTCTCCCTCCTGCGTCGTCTAAATGCGCTGAAATACTAACCTTTGCATATCTCAACTTCTTCTTCCTTTCATGAGATTTTGACGTTCGTCAGATCATTCATTCCTGGTGTTGCAGTTTTAATGGTCAGCAGTGTATGAACAAAATTTCAGTCTCAGCAGCGAGGAATGTGATCTTATAAGAAGCTTCACCGGTTAAAGTAAATTTTGATTTACACGAATTACGAACTGTTTTTTAGTTCATTGCGTCATTGGATTTTGTCACTTAACACTAATTTTGATAACTTAACACGAAGCTTTTCATATTTTTTTCCTGTTGTTTCTCTGCTAGATCTGCGTTCAGAAATGTTGTGTCCCGTTTAATTGAGAGACTCACAGAATACAATGTATTTTTAAAACATAGCCGACATGCGTAGCATTGCTTGATAATCGCCATCATCGTATCAACATTGAGCTTCATTCGTCTTAAGAATGACCTCCAACTAACAATTTTGTATTCATATGTGCGCTTTTCCCCACTTTTAAAGTTAGCTAGTTCTACAAATGTTAAATCTTGAACAATTCTGTATTAATTCAGAAGTCAAACAACAAAAATCAGCGTTATATTTACCAAATTTTCACAGGACTAGTTTTGATGGTTTTACCGAACCACCATCTTCAGCTGCAAAACCGCAAATGAACCAGATAGGAAATAATGATTAGATAAGATAAGAAAGCCTGGACAAGAATAAGCAAGTTGGGCCATCTGTTGGTGAAACCAGAACTAAAACATAATTTCTTTAAAAGCCGAAGGAAAATTTGGATTGGAATTAGGATCGTTAACTAGAACAGAAAGATTTTTTATGAATGTGAAATGCCTCTAGAGAAAATCCAGTTCTCCAATGGAAGATGTTTTTTGAATAATTTTGGCAGCAGAAAAACTGAAAGTGTGGTTTTCGGACCAACAATGTTGAGCAACAGAAGACTTCTGTGTTTCCTTTTTTCTAACATATGCCTCATGTTCCTTAACGCGAAATTTTAAGGCTCTCTTAGTTTGGCCAATGTAAATTAAACCACACTGGCGAGGAATCCTATAAATACCCCAGGAATTCATATCCGGAATGGGGTCCTTGAGTATGGAACTCGGAATTTTATTGATGGGAGAATAAACAACCCGAAAGTTAAATTTCTGCAAAATATGTGCAACTTTATAGCTAATTGATGGAAAGAAGAAGGGAATGACAACAGAATTTTTTATAATCTCCTAAAACAAGAGTGTGCCTTTTAGTGTGTTGGAGATGAGAATTTTTTAACTGCTTGATTAATAATGTTGGGTGGAAAGCCCCTGTCAATAGCTATTGCTTTTAAATAATTTAGTTCTTCATCAAGGGCTAGTTTGGAGGAGCAAACTTGAAGAGCACGGAAAACATAGGAATAAAATGAAGCTAACTTTTGTTTAGTCGGATGACATGATTTAAAGTGTGGTGGAAGGCAAACCGATGAAGGTTTACGGTAAAACCGTAGAGTACTGAAGTTGGATGTGTTACGTGTGACCAGAATGTCGAGAAACGGAAGAGAATTGCAAGTCTCAAGTTCAAAAGTGAACGAATAGCAGGATCAATAGAATTCATTGTTGAAAGAACTTTATTTAAATCATCTTTATTACCTTCAAACAGAGTAAAAGTATCGTCTACATAGCGGAACCATGCCGGGAAGTTTAAAGTTTCAAACAATTTTGATTCATAATAATGCATGTAGATAGATATCAGCCAGGATGGGACTGAGGGGGGCTTCCCATGGCTAATCCCTCAGTTTTGCTTGTAATATTTATTTTGGAAAAACAAAATGTGTTTGTTTCAAACAAAGTTGAGTGAGAGAAATTAGCTCATCAATTTCGATGCAAGAGAAATGAAATTCGCGAAGTCTGGTTTCTAGACATCTTAATGCACCCTCCACTGGGACATTGGTGAATAATGATTTTACATCAAAAGAAAAACATGAGTAAATTACTAGGAGAAATGTTTTTTTTTAACTTTTTTTACAAACTCTATTGAATTTTTTATGGTGTAAATGTTATTGTCTAATAGAGTTGAAAATCTAGAAACTAAATATTTAGCTAATGGATACGAGGCAGTACCTAAATTTGATACAATAGGGCGAAAAGGAATACCACTTTTATGAATTTTGGGAAGAGCATATAATCTGGCACAAAACATTATTAATCAAGCAGTTAAAAAATTCTCATCTCAACACACTAAAAGGCACACTCTTGTTTTAGGAGATTATAAAAATTCTGTTGTCATTCCCTTCTTTCCATCAATTAGCTATAAAGTTGCACATATTTTGCAGAAATTTAACTTTCGGGTTGTTTATTCTCCCATCATAAAATTCCGAGTTCCATACTCAAGGACCCCATTCCGGATATGAATTCCTGGGGTATTTATAGGATTCCTTGCCAGTGTGGTTTAATTTACATTGGCCAAACTAAGAGAGCCTTAAAATTTCGCGTTAAGGAACATGAGGCATATGTTAGAAAAAAGGAAACACAGAAGTCTTCTGTTGCTCAACATTGTTAGTCCGAAAAACCACACTTTCAGTTTTTCTGCTGCCCCAAATTATTCAAAAAGCATCTTCCATTGGAGAACTGGATTTTCTAGAGGCATTTCACATTCATAAAATCTTTCTGTTCTAGTTAACGATCCTAATTCCAATCCAAATTTTCCTTCGGCTTTTTAAGAAATTATGTTTTAGTTCTGGTTTCACCAACAGATGGCGCCACTTG